ATCTGTCACTGGGTCTGGTTCTAGTTCTCAGTCCCTTTCAAACTGCTCTGGTCCATGCAGTAAAGGATTTATTGCTGTAATGCTGTGACGAAAGTATGTCTACCCTTTTCAAGAAAAGCTGTAAGCTGTAGCCAGACTTGATGGCACACACCTGTAATACCAGCACTTGGGAGGCTGAGGAAGGAGGATCACTGCAAGTTCAAGGCCAGCCTCAACAACATAGTAAGACTCTGTCTCAATAAAAAAAAAAAAGAAAAAAAAAACCTATAGGCTTTTTAAAAAAAGTTTCTAACATTCACTTCTCTATGTTAATATTAAACATAATTATTAGAATTAAATTTACTCCTGTCTGTGTTGAAATATCTGGTACCAGATTTGTCCTTCCACCATAAAGAACTAGAAAACTAGGCAGAAATAGAAGAAACAAGTATTTTCAAATGTTACTGGCTTTGGGTGCTGCAGTCTCCTTCTAAGATAATTTATCTGTTCCTTCTGTCCCAAACAAAGAATTGGTCAAAAGCATAAAGGGTGGCAAAGTTTCACATTTATTAAAAGTAGAGAAGAAACTTTGCAGAGATGGAGTTTGGGCCAAGTAAAAGTAGGAAAAAAGGGAAAAAAATTAAAATCCACTCAACAGTGTGAGGGTGGGCCATCGTGAAGAGAGACGATACCCAGCACTTAATAGCAGCTGTCCTTTTTGTGCATCTCTCACGCTGGTGATACTTACCTATTAAAACCACCTTGAGTTCCCAGGAGAACTCCATGTACAGGATTTTGGGAACTGTTCTGCGCATGGGTCCTGGGAACAGGTCACACCGATTTTCCCATCCAGTTATAGCCACACCCTACCTTCATGCCTCACAAATAGTGTACTGGTGTAACTTTGGAGATGCTCTCCATCCAGTTCCAGACTACTACAATAAGTGAATCATGAAAACTTTTGATTTCCCAGGGTATATACAACTTGTGTTTATTCTAACTATACTGTAGTCTATTAAGTGTGTCTATTAACAATATACATACCTTAATCTTAAAACATTTTATTGCTAAAATATGCTAATCCCTGAACTATTGATAATGGCACTGATGAACTTGCTTAATGAAGGGATGCCACAAACCTTCAATTTGTAACACAATATCTGCAAAGTGCAATACAACAAAACGTGTCTATAGTTAGAATAGGTATCACAAGACAGAAGTCATTGGTGATGGAGCAAATTGTTAAGAATCACTCTGACTTTCTGCTAGACATATGTTTCAATCATGTACCAGGAAGGGAAAACAAAAGAATATCCTGGTGGTTGTGCTGAATTGTAAATTACTAAGATGGAGATTGGACTTTGAGCAAACTGACACAACTGAAATATTGATGCAGAATACATTACACGAGGGAGAAATTCAAAGAACTCATTCCAGAAATTTGCATAGGAATTTCTTTGAGTCTGTTCCCTAATACAAAGCCCATTCGGCAAGAAGAACAAGATCTACAAGCTGAACCATTCCCAGAGACACCAGCACTGAGAAATTGTCAAGTTCCAGTCAGCCAGAGTGGAAAGACCTTGTTAAACACCTGGAGGTTAATGATGTAATACCAAAGAAATGTAGCCCTAAAGGAGCTACCAGTAAAAGCTACTCCAGACTTAACTAGCCCCGCCCCCCCAAAAAAAAGACTAAAAAGAAAAGCTTATCTGCCAGATACTTAAAAGCCTTGTTAAATGTTCAACATTTTAAAAAGAGAACAAAATCCAAATGCTCAACACTAACATTCATAATGTCCTGGTTCCAGCAACAACAAAAATGACTAGAGATGCAAACAAGAGAAAAGTGTCACTATAACAAGGAGACAAATGACTACATAATAATAAACTCCCAAATGCCAGAGATCAAGGAATGCCAGACAAAAATATTAGTTTTAGAAATATACAAAAGGAATTACAGAAAAACTTGAAAAATGATAAGGAAAGAAATGGGAGTTATAGAAAAACTAAATGAAATGTGTAAAGATGAAAAACATATTTCTGAAAGTAAAAAATTGAATATACTCAACAATAGATTAGGTGCTGTAGAAGAAAATATCAGTGACTTGAGGGGATAGAAAAGAGAAACTATACATTACAAAGCATGTAATAAAAACACTTTCTAAAAAATTTTAACAAAACTTCAGTCACTTGTGGAACAACACAAAGTGGCCTAACATATGTGTAATTAGAATTCAAAAAGGGCAAAAGAAAAAGCAAAAGAAATATTTAACAACATAGTAGCCCAAAATTTTCCAATCTTGATTAAAACTATGTGCCTTCAAATTCAAGTTCCATGAACCACAAGCAGCAATAAAGAATCCCATATTGAGGCATATGATAATCATATCACTGATAATTAGGATTTAAAAAGAGACTCTTAAAAGCATCTAGGGAGGGAAAGAGGCATTCAACTTGGGGAAACAAAGATAAAAGTAACAGTGGACTTTTCATTTAGAAATACATGAGCAGGGCCAGGGATTTAGCTCAGTGGCACCATGCCTGCCTTGTTAGTGCAAGGTCCTGAGTTCAATCCCCAGTTAAAAAAAAAAAAAAACATGAGCAGACTAAATGATGCAAACTGCTGAAAACAAAAACAACAACAAACCCCCATGAGTCTAGCATTCTAGATCCAGTGAATATGCTTCAAAGTTGAAGGACATAAAATAAAGACATTTCATTTTCATGCAAACAAAAGCTATAAAACAATTGCTGTAAACTGTATAACAAGTAGGGTATGATAGTAGGAAAATGATACCCTATAGAACTCTAGATGTTTAAAGAGCAATAAGTGCTAGTATGTAGATAAGTAGAAATCCATTTTTTCAGTTTTAAAGTTTTAAAAGGCTATTTATTGACTTTAGTAGCAAGAATACTAACAAGGTAGTCAGGCTTACAATACATTTATATCAAAAGAACTGTAACAAAACAATAACAGTGTTATCATTTAAATCTAAAATGTCCCCCAAATGTCTCATGTGTTCACAGGAAGAGATTTTTGGAAGATGACTGGACCATGGGCTTGCTATCCTCATCGGTGGATCAGTCCATTGATGAGTTCATAGCTGAATACACTGTTAAGAGATACCCAGGGCTGGGGATTTAGCTCAGTAGTTTCAACACCTGTGGTGCAAGGGAAGGACCTGAGTTACATCCCTGGTACCAAAAAAAAAAAAAAAAGATAGAGCCCAGCTGTAGGAGGTGGGTCCCTGGGAGCATGCCTATGGAGGGTATATCTCTTGCTCTGGCTCTTCCTCTGATTTCTGTTTCCCAGATGCCATGAGTTGGACAGCTTTCCTCTACCACACCCTCTGCCATGATGTTTCTGTATTGGAACCAGGTTACCATGGACTGAAACCTCTGAAGCTGTGAGCCAAAGATAAATCATTTCCTCCTTGAAGTTATGTACGTCAGACATTTTATCCCAGGAAGGAAAAGTTGACTCATACAAACAGAAAGGATAGAAGAAGAAAAATTCAATTATACCTTTTTAAGATTCTTACATTGTATTTTAAGTGGCATATTATTTGCAGGTAAAGTGTGATAAGTTAAAGGGCATACTATAAATCTTAAATATTGACCACTAAAAAAGATAAAACAAAGAGGTATAACTAATAGGCCCATAATGGAGATGATATACAATGCTAAATGATAGTCTGAAAAAGTTAGAAAAAAAGATAAAAAGGAACAAAATCAGAAGGGGCAAATATAAAACAATATCAAGATAATAGACCTAAACCAAACAACACTGATAAATGTCATAAAAATAAATGGCTAACCACTCCTCTTATTAAAAGAGAGATATTAAGCTTTTTCTCAAAGCAATATTCAATTACATATGATCTGCAATGTATTCACTTTAAAAATAAAAAGACATACCCATGAGAAAATTAGTGTAATTACATTAATATTAGACAAGATATTACCAGAGCAAAAGAAGGTTGTTTCATAATGATAAAAGGGTTAATTTGTTAAGAAGACATAATAACCAAAATGTATTTGCACATAATTATAAAACTTCACAATATATGAAGCAAAACACAACTGAAAGAAAGAATAGACAAATCTATAATTATAGCGAAAAATCTCAACACTCTTGTCTCAGAATTGATAATACCAGTAGGCAGAAAATCAACAATGACACAGAAAATTTGGGCAAAACTATCAATCCACTTGATTTAATTGACATCTATAGAATACTACACCTAACAACTGTAGAGACATTCTTTTCAAGTACACATGAAGAGTCACCAAACTGACCAGATACAGGCCATAAAGCAAATGTCAATAATGTAAGACCGAGGGCCTTACCAAACGCTCTGAGGAGCTGACTGCAGCAAAGAACACCTGGGAAGGAACACACCGGACAAGTTGGAAAATAAAACAGACCTTTATTAGTCTGGCCAGATGGCACTCCCAAAGCAAAATAGCTTAGAGAGGCAACTGGCTCAGAGTCCGAGGATGTTCTTATAGGGGGTTGAGGGGGAAGTTAACATATAGAATTAAAGAAAAGGGACAAAGGTTAGTGGTTGACTGTCACGTATTGATGGTCAGCAGACATTTGCAGCTTGTTCTATAGATTGTGGTGTCCGGAACATCAGTTCCAGGCAAACAAGGAATTGAGTAGTTTACTTTGGGACTTTAGGTCTGTTACAGATTTTTATCTAGTGTCCCAAAACTAACAAGAATCTTTATCCATTAACTCACATTTAATCACAATGGGGCTGGAGAAAAGGAACAAAGGTTATGCAGTCCCACATTCCCCACTGATTTTTGGAACTTAAGTAATCTTACGCGCAAATGTAGGCATCCATTGTATACAACAACATGACAATAATAAGCATGTACACACAACTATGATGACAAGAAAAAGTTAACCATTGTAGGTTGGGCAACCACGAAGTTAACCATTTGAACAAGTCCCCACCATCCTCATTATATATTCTTTGAGCCAGATCTTCTCATTGTTTTATCTTTTCTTTGATCTTTGGACCATTATTGGTAAGATTGAAACAACACATATTTTTTACTTTTTCACAACCTTGGTGGTGGAGGAGCAACAAATAGTCTATTGCTGCTCTATTATCTAAGATTGTCTGTCTCTGTTCCTATAACTCTTGGTTAATTAATGCCAAGGCTGATTAGGTAACATTTAACCCTTTGACCACCTTGCAAGCTAATTTTCGTACTGCCTTTTCAGCATGGACTCCTATAGAAGGCAGGGCAACAAAAGATGCTATCATGGTTATCACTTCAGCATCTGTTAACAGACCTACGTCATCATCGCATCCTGGTGCAGTGTAAGGTGACCAACGTTTAGTTCCGTTAGGCACAATCAAATCAGTTCTGTCTGGCAACACTACAGCTAGACGACTCAAACAGCAATGGGTCTTGGTTAAATTTGCTGGAATATAATTAAAGGTCATTCCTTCACAGGTATAAAACCATCCTGTGGGCAGGGAGATATGGCAATTGTTACACACAATTTTTTGTTTTATATGGCAGGACATCCCTTCTGACCATTTTATCCTCAGACATTTGGTTGTACAATTTTTATACATAGCACATTCAGTTTTGTTTGACATAATTACCTTGGGTGTATATAATTTGACAGAATTTTTAGGTTTACGGCAGGTGTCATGCCCCCAATTATAACTATCCATATAAGTAAGATTTTTTTCCTGGGATGTCCTTAAATAGGGTGTAAGGTTGTATTAATTCTAAAGAGGTGCATACCGGAATGAGACAGCTTCCCAGCACATAATGGAAATTTAGATCAACATTTAAGCAGAAGTCAGACAAGTTAAGCAAGTTTGCCAATTGAATCCATACATTTTTTGTGTGATCTAGTCCTCTTGGGGGCAATACTGCCAGTGTCCCAGAGAATATTATCATTAAGGTGAAACATCTCCAACCCATTCCAGTCTTAGCTTTTAGTCACCTGGTTGGCTGATAACCTTCCATTTGTCCTTTTTGACGTCTGTGGGGGGGTCCTGCTTTTAGATGGTTGTGATGTATCCAGGCAGAATGTCCAGCCACCTCCACCACCAAGGGAGTTGATGGGACAACAGGAACCGGTCCCTTCCAATGAGGTTCCAGGGTCTTGGAATCAAACCTGCGAATAAAAACCAAATCTCCTGGCTTATAGGGTAAAGGTTGTAAAGGTTTTTCATTTGGACTAGTCATTTTCTTTCATAATGTCTCATGTAGCTCTGACTGAAGCTGATGAACTGTCTTTAAGGATTTAAGCAGTTGAAGGTGGGAAAATTTTTCCTTTAATTCTACATTTATTAATGGAATGATTGGGGGAGATCACCCATAAACAATCTGGAAGGGGGACAGATTGAGGGGAGGCTTGGGAGTGCACCTCATTCGGAGGAGGGCAAAAGGGAGAAGCTCTACCCAACCTAGTTCAGTCTCCAAGCATAATTTAGTCAGAATCTCCTTTAAAGTTCGATTTGTTCTTTCTACCTGTCCTGAACTTTGAGGCCTATAGGTACAGTGTAGATTCCACTTTATTCCAAGGATATTACTAATTAATTTAGATATCTTAGCCGTAAAGGCTGGACCATTGTCGGACCCCAAAGCTAAGGGCAAACCAAAACGGGGAACTATTTCTGTCAGGAGCTTTTTAACTGTTACTTCTGCTGTCTCCCTCTTAGTGGGGTATGCTTCTACTCATCCTGAAAATGTATCCACAAAAACTAGCAGGCATTTGTACCCATACATGCCAGGCTTCTTTTCAGTAAAGTCCAACTCCCAATGTTCTCCTGGAGTTAGTCCTCTGTGTCGGACCCCAGGGGGCCCGGTTATCTGATTAGCATTTACCTTGAGGCAGGTGGGGCATCATCTCACCACGTCCTGGGCCTTTTGGGCTAATTCCTGGCTGACGAAATGGGGTTATAAGGCAGCCATCATCCTTTTCTCACCAAGATGGGTGGACTCATGTAGTTCTCACAGCAACGTGTCTGCTACAGTGGCTGGGAGCACCACCTTTTCCTCCTTAGTCGTCCACCACCCATGTCTTCCTCAAGTCCAGCATCTCCTGTTCATTTTCATTATCTCCTTGTCTGTATATTTAGGTTTTTCTGGGAGTACCGGTGTGGGAAGCAGAACCATTTGCTTCCCCACTGATTTTTGGGCAGCTTGTCTTGCTGCCTGATCAGCAGCATTATTACCAATCACCTCGGGGCTTGACCCCTTTTGGTGCCTATGGCAATGGATGATGGCAACCTCTCGGGGCAACCAGATGGCTTGTAGTAGTGCCAATATCTCAGTCTTATTTTTAATTTCCTTCCCTTCGGAGGTTAGCAGCCCTCTGTTCTGATAAATCTCCCCATGTACATGGGTGGTGGCAAAAGCATAACAGCTATCAGTGAATATATTTATCCTTTTTCCTTTTCCCAATTCCAGAGCCTTAGTTAAAGCAATCAGCTCAGCCCTCTGTGCTGATGTCCCTTGAGGTAGCCCCTGCTCCCGTTCCACCTGTTGGTCCTGGTTGACCACCGCTGCTCCAGCATACCACACACCATCACGAATGAAACTGCACCCATCAGTATAGAATGTTATCTCTGCTTGGGAGGGGGGGGGGCCTGGTCCATCCAGTCCTGACATCCTCTCCTTGAGTTTTCAACAGTCTCCAGGCAATCATGGATGGGCATTTGTTCATCAGATTCTGGGAGTAGAGTAGCCGGATTGAGGCCAGTGGTGGTGGCAAACTTAATGTGTGGCTGTTCTAATAAGACTCCTTGATATTGTAACAGTCTGGCATTAGACAGCCATTTGCTAGGTGAGCTATTCAACAAGGGCTCAATGGCATGGGGAGTGATCAAAGTTAAATCCTGTCCAAAGGTCAATTTGTCAGCTTCTTGGGTTAAAGCAGCTTCTGCTGCTACTGTCCTCAAACAAGTAGGCCACCCTCAGGCCACTGGGTGGAGCTTCTTTGAGAGGTATACCACAGGCTGCTTCCATGGCCCCAAAAGCTGAGTAATCACTCCCTTAGCTACCCCATTTTTCTCTGTCACATAGAAGGTAAAGGGGCTGGTGCCAATGCAAGTGCAGTCTTAAGCAATTGAAATGCCTGCTGGCAAGCCTCAGTCCACTCGAGGGGTGTATTTCCTCCTGAAGTGGCCTCATGTAGGGGTTTGGCAATCTCAGCAAAGCCAGGAATCCAAATCCTGCAATAGCCAACCACCCCTAGGAACTCTCGCACCTGTTTCTTTGAGCCTGGCTTCAGAATCTGGAGAATTGCAGATACTCTCGATTCTGCCAGTCTCCTCTTTCCCTTTTCAGGAATATAGCCCAAGTAGATTACCTTGGTTCGTTGGAGTTGAGCTTTCTTCCAGGACACCTGATATCCCAGTTCCTGGAGGGCTTTCAGGAGGCCCTCGGTGGCTGCAATGCATTCTTTATCAGTTGAAGTCACCACCAGGAGGTCATCAACATACTGAAGAATAGTCACCTGGGGAAACACTTTTCTTATCTCTTGCAGATCTTTGTTGAGAGCTTCCCCAAACAGAGTGGGGGAGTTTTTGAATCCCTGCAGCAGCCGGGTCCATGTCAGCTGTCCGGTTGTTCTGGTGTCTGGGTCAGTCCATTCGAAGGCAAAGAGGGGCTGGCTCACAGGTGCTAGAGGCAGGCTGAAAAATGCATCTTTAAGGTCTAATACTGAGTACCACACATGACCAGGAGGGATGAGACTCAACAGAGTATAGGGGTTTGGTACTGTTGGGTGAACAGTCTCCACCCGACTGTTTACTTCCCACAAATTCTGTACCGGTCTGAAGTCCGAGGTGCCAGGCTTCCTCACAGGAAGCAGGGGTGTATTCCAGGCTGACTGGCAAGGGACCAGGATGCCAGCTTCCTGGAGTCGGTGGATGTGTTTGGATATCCCTACCTTGGCCTCCAGCCGAAGGGGGTACTGCCACACATGGGCGGGGGTGGCAGAGGCCAACAGTTGAACCACCACTGGGGCATTGTGTTTGGCCAATCTGGGTGAATTGGTTTCAGCCCATACCCAGGGAAAGTTTTTCTGAAGGTAGTCCCATTTTTGTTCAGGAGGTTCTGTGCCCTCCTTTAGCAGCTTAAATTCATCTTCAAGGGGAACCATTACCATAATGGCAGAGGGTGGCTTGAGTCCCAGCATCCCTCCTTCAGGCTCAAAGGAAATAAAAGCCCCCAATTTTTGTAGTAGATCTCTTCCCAACAACGGGTATGGACACTCTGGGATGACTAAGAAGGAATGAGTAACAGTGCCTTTTCCCAGATTTACAGTTCATTTAGTGGTCCAAGGGTAAGAGGCTGACTGTCCTGTGGCCCCGGTAATGAAGGACTTTAGGGAAGAAAGGGTTCCAAGGGGGGTCTTTAGGACAGAATGGGCCATGCCAGTATCCACAAGGAATTGGACATCTGTTCCCCCTATTTCCAAAGTCACCATAGGCTCATTAGGGTCAAGCAGCCATGAGCCTCGGCCCTGTCAGTCAATTTTTTTCATCTACCAAGAGAACTCCATCTCCTTTTTTCTTAGTCTCTTTCTCTCTCTTTCTTTTTAACTTTTCACAATCCCTCTTGTAATGGCCCTTTTCCTTGCAATATGCACATTGATCCTTCTCTAACAAGGGCCATACTTTACTTTTATCCTCTTTTTTATTCTCTCTGTATTTCTTTTGGATAAAACCTCCATCTGTCAAGGCTGCAATATTCACCTTTCCTATCTTTTTAGCCATTCTATCCTCAAAAGGATCCCTATTGTTAAACACCTTCATTGCCACACTCATCAACTTTTCCCTATTCTCTCCCTCAAATCCTTCCATCCACTGCAGTTTCTTTCTAATATCTGGGGCCGACTGAGTAACAAAAGCCAAATTAATTGCCTGTCGATTTGCAGGGGCATCTGAGTCAATTGGAGTATACGTACGGTATGCTTCCAACAGACGCTCCAGAAAGGCAGAAGGGGACTCCTCAGGTCCTTGAAGGACCTCGCTTACCTTGCTCAAATTGGTAGGCTTTTGAGCGGCTCCCCTCAAGCTGGCTAGGAGATGCTGACGGTAGTTTTGGAGAGCTTCTCTCCCGCCCGAGGAATTAGCTTGCCACGGGGGATGGGTGGACGGAAGTTGCGCCTCAATATGGGCCCGCTGTTGTTCATCAAGGGGGCCCTCTGTTCCCCCTAACACAGACTTTATGGCTTGCCCTCGGATCCTTTCTCTTTCCTCGGAGGTAAAAAGAGCTTGGAGAAGTTGTTGACAATCATCCCAGGGTGGGTCATGGGTATGAAAAACAGATTCTAGGAGGGAGATCAAAGCCTGGGGTTTTTCTGAAACAGGGGGATTTTGATGTTTCCAATTATACAAATCACTGGTAGAGAAAGGGATATAGACATAATGACCCTGTTCTATTTCCCTAAGAGGCAGAAGAGGAACTGAACTAGTCCCTTCAGTGAGAGCTCCGTGGGGATCATAAGCTGCCCCTGTTCACGTGTGGGAGGGGGAGGTTATAGAATCTGGAGATTTTCCTTCTTTGGGAAGAGGAGAGGAGAGAGAGTTTCGAGATCTGGGGACCACTTTATCAGAGGAAGCGGATGGCTCCACATAGGGTGGAGGTCTTATAACAAGATCTAAGGGGTCAGGATCTTGTGAGAGAACCAGCTTGGGAGCCCGGGTTTTGGCCTCTTGGGCTTCCCTTGGGGCCATAACCATAATGTGAGAGTTTGTTCACAGGGAACAATGCTGCAACCATGCCAGAGGCTCTTGACAAGCCCGGACCCAGATATTTATATATGGAAACTGATCAGGATGGCTAGGGTGCCTGGTGACCCTTCTCCATACCGCCCTGCAGAGACTTGGGTCAAAAGAGCCCTCAGCTGGCCATCCAACTCAAAAGGCCGGCCATTCCAATTGACACAGGGAGCAAAGTTTTCCACCAGAAAATTTAACCCCATATTCGTTCTCCTGTTCGGGGGTGGGGAAAGCCAATTTAAAATTAGTGAGAAAACAATCCAATGGGGTATTTCTGGAGCAGGATCCTCCCATCTCTGTCCTGATGGTTTGGAAAGAAATACAAAATTAAACACACAACGGACAGGACACTAACGTACGAATGACAAAACGAACAGGCGCCACAACAAAACTGAAACTAAATCTTCCCTTATTCCTCATCAGGAACCTTGGGGTCAGGGGAGGCTTATCGGCCCGTCAGCCACCTCACTCCTGACAACAAACGGTTGCAACCAGCCAAAAACTTACCTCCAGAGGTTTTCTGAGGTCTGTGCCTGAGAGTCTCCTGCTGGATTCCGCCACAGAGTCTCGGCTGAACCGGGGTTCCTTACCTGGGGGGGTCTCACTGGGGCCTCCAAAATGTAAGACCAAGGGCCTTACCAAACGCTCCGAGGAGCTGACTGCAGCGAAGAACACCCGGGAAGGAACACACCGGACAAGTTGGAAAATAAAACAGACCTTTATTAGTCTGGCCAGACGACACTCCCAAACCAAAATAGCTTAGAGAGGCAACTGGCTCAGAGTCCGAGGCTGTTCTTATAGGGGGTTGAGGGGGAAGTTAACATATAGAATTAAAGAAAAGGGGGCAAAGGTTAGTGGTCGACTGTCACGTATTGATGGTCAGCAAACATTTGCAGCTTGTTCTATAGATTGTGGTGTCCGGAACATCAGTTCCAGGCAAACAAGGAATTGAGTAGTTTACTTTGGGACTTTAGGTCTGTTACAGATTTTTATCTAGTGTCCCAAAACTAACAAGCATCTTTATCCATTAACTCACATTTAATCACAATGGGGTTGGAGAAAAGGAACAAGGGTTATGCAGTCCCACAATAAACTTGAAAGAATTGATACAACAAAAGTCTTCTGACCACAACAGAATTAAATCTAAAAACAACAGTGCATCAAAACACTCAACAAACTAAGAATGTAAGGCAACTTCCTCATCATGATACACACAAAAAGGCAGGCAAAAGGGGAAAAATAAAACAAAAAAAAAGAAGGGAAAAAATGGAAATAAAGCTTTTCTAACTAAGCGGAGAGGGAGAGTTGAAGGGAGTGGAGGAGATTGGGAGAAAAACAGGAATCAAAATATATCATGTACAGGTACAAATTCTCTTTGATAAATGTGATTGTTATGGATATTTAAATTGTACCAATAAAATTAATTTTAAAAAATAAAGCAACTCCATTTGTAAAACTTAAAAAAAAAAAACTGCAATTCTCCATCATGGCAGTGTAGAGAAAGCAACATTCACAGAGATCGTCCAGGTAAGCACCATGGTTAGTTAGAGCACATCAAAAAGACGTAGTAGAGATACCAATCACTAGAGTACACCCTCAATAGGATAACAACCACAAGAAATGCGGAAAGTGGGAATTCTAGAATAAGAAGCAAAATTACATATAAGCTCAGGCACTCATCTGAGTGCCTGGATCTGGAGACAGCAGTGTTCATGGTGCAGTTGAGCCAGATCATGTACCTGCCAGGACATGGACCAGAATCTGTGCTCATATTAGCAAACAGTCTCCCAAATCAATTGTGTGGTTCCCAGCCGAAATCCAGAGGCACAGCCACCCTGTGAAATACATAAAACTGTCTGGGAAAGAAGTAAGGGGGATGGCTACAGCTTGGTACTTGCTTCAGAAACCTTTATTCTCCAGCCCTGGGGGAATTCCATGGTTTACCTGCCAGAATACAGACCAGAATCTGTGATAATAGCAGCAAAGAGAATCTTCCATGAATGTGTAGCCTATGCCACAGTTCTAGCTACCCTGTGCAAAGCTAAAAAACTCTCATGGAAAAAAAAGCAGGGGTATGGGGGTGACTGCAGCGGGACACTTCCACCAATCACCATTGCTCATTCTTCAAGCAGAGTATGGAGTATCTATCACAATTCCAGCCTCTCTGACTAGGTGGGCTGGGTAGAAGTGGTGTTTACCAAACTAAAGATAAATTTAGAGCTTGGGGCATTTAGGGCCCAGGGGCAATGATGGGGATGGGAGGGGCAGAGGGAGGGGGAGGGGTAGAAACAGCCTACACTAAGCCAGGAACCTTCCTCCCTAACCTCCAATTGCTACTGAAAATCAGAGGATTGAGCAAGCTGAGAAAGAGAAAACCAGGAGTTTCAGAGAAGGTAGAAGAAGAACAGGGGAAAGCAGTTTGAAAGTTCACGTAGACAGAGAACCCCAGGCTGAAACTCACTGTAGGGAGCAGAGTAAATACCCCACCAAGAATTCTGAGAAAAGGAGAGCCTCTGGAATTTGGAGGTCTAAAAACAGCATGTCTGGAATGGCATGAAGCATTGGCCTTCCCCTCAAACCTGTTTGTAGACTGTGTGTCAAACAGATTTGTTTGTATTTTCAGACCCCCTTACTCCCAAAGTTAGGAGGAGGGTTTAAGTGAGTATGTAACTGTGTATGGGGATGGTTCAGTGTTTTAATTTCTACAGTGCTTTTCTGCAGGTGGACATCATGATAATTGGTTTCAACACACACAAAACCTCTTGAACCTTCCACAGTTGACCCAATCAAAAAGTGGGCAAATGAAATGAATACAGACTTCTCAAAAGAAGCAGCACAAATATTCAATAAGTAATAAAAATGTTCAACATCTTTACTCTTTAGAGAAGTGCAAATTAAAATAACAAATAACTCTGATATTACACGTTTCTCCAGTATGAATGGCTATCATCAAGAAATCAAATAAATGTTGGCAAGCTTGTGTGGGAAAAGCTCTCCCACATTGTTGGTAGGAATGTAAACTAGTGAAACTACTATGGAAAACAGTAAGGCAATTTCTCAAAATATTGAAAATAGAAAATTTTCTGGACACTACTGTATCTATTCTAAGAGTTAAAGATATCATATTATACAGATACATGCATATCCATATTTGTAGCAATTAAATTCACAATAGACAAATTATGGAAGCAGCCTGAGTGCCCAGTAACAGATAAATGGATAAGAAAATGTATATTTATACAATGAAGTTCTCTTCAGCCATAAAGGATAAATTCAAATCATATGTCAGAAAATGGATTGAACTTGAGAACATAATAGTAACTGAAATAAGTCAAACACAGGAAGTGAAACTCAAAATATAAATAAATCAAAGAGAAAAAAAGAGTGATTGAAGGGAACAGAGAGATAGGTTTCTTAGAGATGAGGAAGGGGAGAGAGGAAAGAGGGGAGAGAGGAGAGTAGCTAGAAAGAAAATAGAATATCAAAATGATCAAGATACAATATATATGCACAAAAAAGGCTAACCTTCAATACAACCCAAATGTAGGCATGTGTAAACAAATGTATCCATATCTTTCCCTCTCTCCCTCCTTCTCTCCCTCTTTCTCTCTCTCCATATATGTCTTATTTTTCTCATTGCTGAGACAAAACACTCAATACCTAAAATTAAAGGAGGGAAGGTTTATTCTGGCACCTGATTTGTAGAGGTTTCAGTCCATAATTAGCTGGCTCCAAGTCAGAGTGAAATAACAAAGGGGCATCACAGAGCAGGCAGGTGGGAGCAGCAGACAAGCAGAAGCAGCAAGCAGTGGCAGCAGCCCTCTTTCTGTCCCTTATATTCAGTCCAGGCTACCCACCCTTAGGTTAAGCAGCATTCACACCCAGGGTGGGGCACCCTTAATTCCAGCATCACATACTTAATCCCAGCATCATACACCCTAGATCCAAATACCTCTGAAAAAGCCCACCTATGACCACACGAGGCTTTGGGGGACATCTAGACACAGGCCATATTATTCATATATATAATTTTTGTGGTGTGCATACAGTTCTTTGGACATATTGTCCAAAACCACTTGCCTCATTTTTTATGACATGAGTTTAAGCTAATCCCCATGGAAAATCATATTAAATTTCACCTCTGTTTAATAAGACAACAATTCTGTAAAACAAGATCAGAGTCATTCTCCCTTACTTATTCTTCTGTGTTTTTAACAACTGCTTCTGTGCCCAGATGGTCTGATTCATGGCCTTCTTCAACACATACATGGTTTACCATTTTTTCTGTCTACTTTCTTTTTAAGAGTTAAGTCACAAGATAAATGATAATTTCTTAAAGGCTAATTAAGAACCTTTCTGCATAGGTTCTATTTAATTGGCTTCAGTCAACCTTGATTATAATCAAAATTTTTTAATTATACTTTACTTATATTTATTGTTTATAAGACTATCATGAAATAACAGAGGACAGCTATTGTGCTAAGCTTTTCCAGTGAATGATCAGTATATTGTAATAAAGGAATTATCAAAATAACATAAATACTAACTCACAGACTCTTTAATATGAATCTATTTAATATTGATGAACTCTCATAATTGCTGTGCATGTTTAAGGGCAAAAAGGTAATTTTTCTATGGCATTACTCTCTCAACTGCTTTAGAATTTCTTAACATGTAAGTGACAAATAGGAAAGCATCTCACTTTCTAATTCTTCTCAAATTCTGGTTTGTATAAAATTCATCTGTGAAACTTCCTAAACATGTAGATTCCCTGTCCCTCTGTGTGACCTTTATTCTAAGTATCCCTTATCCCATCTGATCCCCTTCATGAATAAAATGTATATTAGGTCTATATTAAAGATATTTGAGAGCTTAGAATAAAACAATAAGTGCAAACATCTTAGCACAATACAAAATATATAGTAGGTACATAGTTTCAAAATTCTTATTCAGTGAATATGATGCCAGGCCTGACAATCTGTATATTAAAAATAAGAAGCCCTTCCCTTGGTAATTCTATTGCAAGTGGTCTAAGAACTGATCATATATGAAGAAAATATTCCCTTCTCTAGACAGTGATTCCAAGTCCCGCCTCTGACTCAGAATTACCTGTGCAGCTTTTAAAACTACAAGTCCTTGGGTTTTGCTCCCAGAAATGCTAACACTCCATGTCTAGCATGAAGCCCAATGATATAGAAAGTTTTAAATACTCCACAAGTAATTCCAATGTTAACCAGAGTTGAAGATCGCTACTTCAAATTCTCCAAATATTTTGTCCATTTCTATAGTGGAAAAATTATTCTATATGGAAAAATTCAGCACATATATGACATGTGATCAAAAAATACAGTGATTGGTGGAATCTAAAATTTTATTACAATAAAAGACATATTGCCATTAATCCCCTCAAAACATTCCCCTCCCTTCAAAAACACTTATCCCATCATTCTTGCCCTTTATGAAGCAGTTCTAGAAGTTCTCTTTCATATCCTCTTTAGTTGAGTTATCATGGCTGCCTCAATGTCCTGAATTGAATCAAAACACTTATCCTGGTCATTTTTACTTTGGGGAAAAGCCACAAGTG